ACCGCCTCGTTGCCAAATCCCGTGTCTGGTTAAAGAAGCAAAGGCGTGGCAATGACTACAGGCAGGCCAGTGCCACAGACGAGGCAAGGATACTTGCCTCAATCCTTGTGGATTTTAGTTCCCTGGAAAAGTCTCTGGAGGCAAATAATTCTTCAGGGCCCATAAAAGGTGAGCACCATACAGCTTCCCAGGCAATTCTATCTACTCCCTTCCCTCGTTTTTAGTAACAAATGAAGTTCAGGGGAAAGTCACAGAGAGAAAGGAATGATAAGGGATGAATGATGGCTCTCTCATTTGGGCTGTGGTCTCCTGTTTTGGAGCCAAAACTCAATCATTCTGGCAATTCTGCAAAAGGTCAAACACAGGGTTACCATATGACCCAGCAATTCCACTCCTAGGCACATACCCAAGAGAAATGAAAATGCAGATTCACACAAAAATGTGTCTGCAAGCATCTGTGGCAGCATTATTCATAATAGCTAAAAAGTGGAAACAACCTGAGTGTTCAACTGTGAATGGATAAACAATGTGGTACATGAGTACAATGAATATTCATCAGCAACAAAAAGGTACAAAGTACTGACAGGCAACAGCATGGATGAACTCAAAACTAACTCTGTGAATGGTGCACTTTGTAAATAACTATTAAATGATTTGCTTTAAACTGGTAAACTGTATGTCTGAAATTCCTCTCAATTCAAAAGACAAAAGCTCATGCAATAACCAAATTCTTCTGCAGTTTGCAGAGGACAGGGGAATGCTGGAGGCCTTGGACTTCCCTCTTGAGAGGAGAAAAGCAGTCCTGGCCTGTAACATCCGGGTTACATTCTGTGGACGTGACCCAGCCCCCTTTACTCTCCACACTAGCTTGCCTTGCTCCAAAGAGCTTGCCTTGCGCCCCGATTTGACTTTTGCTCATTCAGCAGACTTTTGCTGAGCACCTACAGCGTGCCAGGAACCGTGCTGGCCCGGGACCTGCAGAGGAAGGGGAAGCAGGCCTTGCCTTCAAGGACCAATCACTTTCATAATTATCCACCCAACCACAGGCAGGAAGCAGCAGCAGGAGAGTCCGAGTGGTATTCTGTTGTGGGTTGTGGGCAGAAAAGAATGTTTCATGTCTGGGTTCCAGAGGGTGGACTCATGTCCACACCAAAATAGCACACACGGGTCTGGGATGCAAATATCTCAGAGCATGGGGTGGGGGGGAGCACCAGGAGGCAGATCTGACAGGAAGCTGAAGGCACAAACCCCAAGGCCTCGAGCTGGTGCCAGCACTACCCACCCTTAAATTCCATCTGGCAGCCCCGTGGGCGTTTCCATTTTGTTTATTTTTTTAAAAGGGAAGAGGAGATGGGGGAGGAGGGAGAGAACAAGTTATTACTCAGCATTTCCATCGTGTTTAATGTTTGCAAAGCACTCCTGTCCTCACTCAGTCCTGAACTGCCTGAAATAATAAAGGAATTTGAGAATCCAGCCAAGAACTCAAAGTACTTAGCAGATGTAAGAACCTATCACTGCATCTGGCAAGGTGGGCACTATTAATCCAATGACATAAATACTATTTTTAAAATTAATCCAAAATAATAACCTCTATAAAGCTGACATGCTATTGGGTGATGAATGAACTCAGTAAGCTCATGTTCTAAATCTACCCATTCACACCTTGACACGTGTCCACTTTTACAGAACGGGTGCTGATGTCCTCTTTTGAGACGCCAGAGTCCTATGGCTGGCACGCCCAGTATTTTATGGCAACAGTTAACAAGAAAAATCAATTTCCTGCTGCCAGCAGACAGCACCTGGATCATCACACTACAGATGCAGCGCTGATAAAGTATGACTGTCTCTCAGCGGGCCAGCGCCGCCTGCAAGCACGCTGCGGTGTGAGCTGCACGTGCGAGGAGCACTGTGGCTTCGGAACTCAAGCTCCGGAACGATGTGAAATCGATGTGTGTGTGTCTGTGTGTGTTTATACTGAAAGTTAACCAAGCTCAGTGACCACCTTAGCTTGTTCGTAAGACTGCTACCTTCAGCAGTGTTCATCGGTCAATTGGGAGGCTACTTGGTAACGTATAAATAATATGTACACTTAAAATTACCATGAATATGAATCTTATGAGGACAAAGTGCTTCCATTAGCTATTTCAGAAAATATGTTGGGGTCATATAAAAATGAAAAAAGAATTTTGAAAGTGTATTTAACAGACATCATCTGCTTTATTTCAGATCAACGCTCCATCTTTCCTCCCACACTCGGCAGGACAATTAGAAAAGCTGGACTATACCACACACACACACACACACACACACACTAAAGAGCTAACATGGCAAAGCTAACAGTTACCAGGTCAAGATCTGGGAAAGACCAACTCAGAAAGATGAGGCCAGGATGTGGGGCTGCGTTTATCTTGGAGCATCTGCTGAATTAAGAAAAGGTTCCTGCGTCACAAGCAGCATCTCTGACAGCTTTGTGGAGCCAGGAGGACAAAATCTGGAGACTGCCAATGAGTTGGCTATAATTTCAGACAAAATAGACTAAAGAAAAAAGATTACTACAGACAAAGATAATAAAAACAGGTTTAACAAACAGAAATTAAAAGTTGGGATTGTTTCATGTTGCAATGATAACATTGTATGCACTTAAAAACAAGTCTGAGACTATATAAAGCAAAAGACTGGTAGCACCGTAAACTGACACAAACTGCAATCATGGTGGAGGATTTAACACATTTCTCCCAGTAACAGAAACAACACAAAAAAGTTAGCATATAGCAAATTTGGGGGGAAAAAAAAAGACAAAGAAATCAGAACCTAATTGTCATCTATAGAACTTTGCACCCAGTGATCTTAAAAGATACATTCTTTTTATGTCCACAGGAAGAGTTGCAGAAGCTAAACATGTGCCTTTTACCTGTACAATGGAAAAATGTGTGTTCCTAGAAACCAGATAGAATGGTTTCATCTGGCCCCTGAGAGTGAGCTATGTGACCCAGTAAGGTTGAGAGGACTGTGGTTTCACTATGCAAAGGAGTCCCAAGAAGGTAAGTAGGTTGTGCTGAGTGTCTTGGTGACTTAGAGACGCGTGGAATGGATGCTTGGCTGGACCTGAGACGGTGAGGTTGACAGGAAAAGAGGATGGAGCGGGAAAAGTCCACGCAGCCTCCTTTCGTCTCCTGCCCTGGGAGCTGCAGGGCACCTGGGGTTGTGTGAAGGAGAGGACAATGCAAAACCCCGCCCTCTGCTAAAACTAAAGGGAGGCAGCAGTCACAGCAGAGTCTTCTGTGCAGTCAGGCAGATGACAGCTTTTACGGACAAACCCTGCTTCCCATCTCACCCCCACCCTGCATCTTTCTGTCCCGTCCTCAGAAGCTGCACCTGGATTCTAGGTGAGCACTTCTGCCATTCGACCATCACAAGCACTTACATGGGGAGCCGGGCCCTGCAAATCAGAGTGCCTGCTCTAACAAGGCTCGCCCTACGTGTCAAAATCTAGTTTCCCACCCCGTTCCTGCCCCAATCTTCAGAGAATAAATGGGTCCTAAACGTGGTTCTCTGCTCAGATCCTCAACTTCAGTGGCCTGGATACATGTACATTGTGCCCTGTGGGTTGGGGGTAGACGTGTGGATACAGGAGCCCTGCTGGGTATGAGAGCTTGAGTTGGAGCTAGAAGTTGGGGTGGGGAGGGTGCAGACGTGATCTGTGCTTTTTAGACAACCCGGAAGTCCTGAGTCCTGTCCTGCCGCCCACTAACAGGTTAAATGGAACCACCGCCCTAGCCCGACCTAGTTGTGGGACACATAGTAGAGGGCTTTCTGGACCAGCTGCAGTCCTGACCTAATTCTCTGCAAGAATCTCAGCAACCCCAGTAAGTCTCCCTCATTTCTCCCCCAGTCTGGCAACATTTGGTGCTGAGTAGAAAGAGCACTTAGCCCTGGCTGGCATGGCTCAGTGGTTAGTGGGTTTGATTCCGATCAAGGGCACGTACCTGGGTTACAGGTTCCCATCCCAGTTGGGGTGTGTGTGGGAGGCAACCAATTGATGTGGCACTCTCACATTGATGTTTCTCTCTCTCTTTCTCTCTCTCTCTCTCTCTCTCTCCCCTCTCTGCCCCTCTCCCCTCCCTTCCACTCTCTCTAAAATCAATGCAGCCCTAACCAGTTTGGCTCAGTGGATAGAGCATTGGCCTTCGGACTGAAAGGTCCCAGGTTCGATTCCGGTCAAGGGCATGTACCTTGGTTGTGGGCACATCCCCAGTAGGAGGTGTGCAGGAGGCAGCTGATCGATGTTTCTCTCTCATAGATGTTTCTAACTCAGCCGTGGGCAAACTCCGGCCCACGGGCCGGATCCGGCCCGTTTGAAATGAATAAAACTAAAAAAACAAAAGACCGTACCCTTTTATGTAATGATGTTTACTTTGAATTTATATTAGTTCACACAAACACTCCATCCATGCTTTTGTTCCGGCCCTCTGGTCCAGTTTAAGAACCCATTGTGGCCCTCGAGTCAAAAAGTTTGCCCGCCCCTGTTCTAACTCTATCCCTCTCTGTAAAAAATCAATAAAATATATTTTAAAAAAAGATTTTAAGATCAATGGAAAAACTATCCTCCACTAAGGATTAACAACAATAAAAGAGCCACTTAATCAGCAGTGCCTCCTGGGAGCCCCCACCAGCCCAGGGTCCCACGTGTCTCTCCCAAGCCAGCACTGTGTCAGGTCCTTCTGCAACCAGTGGTTGAGCCCAACATATTCACATACTTGGATTCACATACTTGGATTCACATACTTGGATTCTGGTAACTGGGCGTGTTCGCACTCCTGTATTCAGCTGGCTGTTTCGAAATCGCCCTCAGTATGAAATCATATAACCTGAGGACTTCCTGGATTTTCACCCCTCCAGGAAGTGGAGCGTGTTGAAGTTTGCTCTAAGTGCCTTATTAATAAGTAACATCCACTGTTCCTGCCTCTCGCCCTGCCTGGCAGGAGGCCACCCAGACTCACCCTCATACATCTCCAGGATGTGAACCGAGTCTCCGATCTGCAGGGACAGCTCCACCTCTTGAGAGGCATTGTAGTTGTAGATCGCTGGAATGAGAAACAAAAGGGGAAATGGCATCAGTGGCTGTTAAAATGCAGGTTACAGTAGCACATTCTGTGGTCAGTGAACCACTTAGCAATAATGACCCTCTACTTAATGATTTCAGGTGAATCACCCACCGAAAAGCAGAGAACACCCTCCTAGACCCCCATTACTGTGTTTTATGGAGATCCCTCCACCCAATACTGGTTGGGTGCCTTGTGTGTACCATGTATTGGGTGAGAGACCATGGGCTGGGTGACAGAACACACAGACATGGTCCCTGGGATGGAGATTTTTAGTCTTCTAGGGGAAGAAAGAGATTACATATATTATTACAGAAATAACTACTTAATTAAAATTATAAGAGTTATGAAAGAAAAAACCAGGCTAAAATGAGAATACATGTGGTGTTTCGCTGGTCAGTCCCCTTGTTCATTAGACCACAGCCAGCCTATGACACCACTGAGCTGTGATCTCTAGGGCATGGGGAGATCCATCACCCAGCTTCCATGACAGTGATTGGTGGCCCAAGGACTACTTGTGAGTCCCATATACCCTCCAATAACAGACTGACACAGGGTGCAATGCGGGGGTGGCCAGCTTGCCCCAGTTCTAGGCACTCCGGGGAACTGGGTTGTCCCAGCACCTCCTCATCAAGGTGACCTCAGTCACCACAGTCCTTAGGGCTGGCAATGACTGGGCCAGACTGTGAAAACAGTCCACTAACTCTTATAACTCAGAAAGAAAATGACAACCCAATTTTTCAGATGGTAAAGCTCTGGGACATCTGACCAAGAATCATATATGATGGCTAATGAGCACATCAAACGATGCTCAACAGCATCAGTCTTCAGGGAAATGCAAATCAAAACCACAATGGGCTTCACCAGAATGGCTATAAGTTTTAAAGGCTGGTAATTGGCAAGAATGTGAAGACACTGAAACCCTCATGCATTGCTGGTAGAAATGTATGTTCAGGAAACTGTTTGGCAGTTTCTTAAAAAGTTAAACATAAGTTTGCAGCACAACCCAGTAATTCCTCTCCCAGTTATCTACAAAGAGAAACGAAAACATGCCTATACAGAAACTTTGTGTGAATATTCATAGCTGCCGTGGTGGGAAGAAAACCCCTCACAGATATCCCATCAAATTTCTGCAACCTGTGGATGTTACTGGTGTGGCAAAAACAATTGAATCAGTTAAGGATCTTGCGAGGAGGAGCTTTTTCTAGATTGTCAGGGTGGGCCCTGGCTGCAATAACATGCCGGTGAAGAGAAAGAAGGCCATTGAAGATGGAGGCAGAGGTGGAAGGAATGGGACCTCAACAGAGGACGGCCACGACCACCGGAAGCTGGGAGAGACAGGAAGGAACCTGGAGAAGAAGCACAGCCTGCCAGCTCCTTGCTTTCAGACTTTGGTCTCCAGAGTGTGAGACAGTATGTTTTAAAACCACTATGCTGTACACCTGAAACCAACACAAAGTTATATGGATGGAGTCGTTAGGGTTTTCTATGTAAGTGACACTTTTTCTTCCTTCCCAATTTGGATGCCTTTTATTTCTTTCTCTTGCCTGATTGCTCTAGGACTTCCAGCACTACTAGTATGTTGAATAAGAGTGCTGAGAGCTGACATCCTTGTCTTGTTCCTGATTTTAGAGGAGAAGCTTTCAATTTTTCATCGAGTATGATATTGGCTGAGAGGTTATCATATATGGCCTTTATTATGCTGAGGTACTTTCCTTCTACACCCATTTTTATTGATTGTTTTAATAATAAATGGATGTTGTATCTTACCAAATACACTTTCTGAATCTATTGATAAGATCATATTATTTTTATCCATTGTTAATGTGGTGTATTACATTGACTGATTTGCGTATGTTGAACCATCCTTGTGCCCCAGGAAAGAAACCTATTTGATCATGATATATTATTTTTTGGATGTACTGTTGTATTCCATTTGCTAGTATCCTGCTTAGGATTTTTGCATCTGTATCCATCAGAGATGCTGGTCTGTAGTTTTCTTTTTTTGTGCTATTCCTGCCAGGTTTTTGATATCAGGGTTATGCTGGCCTCATAAAATGTGTTAGGATATATTGCCTCTTCTTCAATTTTTTAGAAGAGTTTGAGGATAGGTCTCAAATCTTCTTTGAATGTTTGGTAGAATTCACAGGTGAAGCCATCTGGGCCTGGACCTTTTTAGGAGGTGAGGTGTTGATGGCTGTTTCAACTTCCTCATTGTTTATTTGTATTCTTAGATTTTCCAATTCTTCAGTCTAGAAAGGTTATATATTTCTAGGAACTTACCCATTTCTTCTAGGTTATTGAATTTGGTGGCATATAGTCTCTCATTATATTCTAGTGTGATCCTTTGTATATACATTTGTGATGTCTGTGGTAACTTCTCTTTCATTTTTCATTTTGTTTTTATGAGTCTTCTCTTTTTTTCCTTAGTGAGTCTAGCCAGGAGTTTGTCAATTTTATTCATCTTTTCAAAGAACCAGCTCTTCATTGTATTAGAAAAACTAAACAAATACAAGTAAAGTTGCAGGATACAAAACCAATGTACAAAAATCCACTGTTTTCCTATATGCTAACAATGAACTTCAGAAGATGAAATGAAAAAAATTCATTTTGCAATTGCAATCAAAAGAATAAAATACCTAGAAATAAACTCAACAAAGGATGTGAAGGACCTATATACTGAAAACTACAAAGCATTAATAAAAGAGATTGAAAAGACACAGTGAAATGGAAAGATATTCTGTGTCCATAGATTGGATCAACATAGTTAAAATGGCCATATTACCCAAAGCAATATACAGATTTAATGCAATCCCCATAAAAATCTCTCAATGTAATTTTTGAAATAAATAGGACAAAAATCACCAAATTTGTATGGAATCGCAAAAGACCCTGAATAGCCAAAGAAATCCTGAGAAAAAACAAATGAAGCCAGAGGCATCACACTACCTGACTTCAAATTATTCTACAGAGCTAAGATAATCAAAACCACGTGGTACTGGCAGAAAAACAGACACATAGACCAATGGAGCATAACTGAGAGCCCTGAAATAAAACCACAGGTATATGGGCAAGTAATTTTTCACAAAGGGACTAAAAACACACAATGGAGTCAAGAAAGCCTCTTCAATAAATGGTGCTGGGAACATTAGAAAGCTACATGCAAAAGAATGAAACTAGATTACAGTTTGGCCCCATGTACAAAAATTAACTCAAAATGGATCAAAGACCTAAACATAAGATCTGAAACGATAAATCACATAAAAGAAAACATAGGTACTAAACTTATGAATGTTGGTCATAGAGAACATTTTATGAGTTTGACCCCAAAGGCAAGGGAAGTAAAGGCAAAAATAAATAAACGAATGGGACTATATCAAACTAAAAAGCTTCTGCACAGCAAAAGAAACTGACAACAAAATAAAAAAGCAATCAACCGAATGGGAGATGATATTTGCAAATAATAGTTCCAACGAGGGGTTAATATCCAAAATATATAAAAAACTCACACAACTCAACATCAAACAAACAATACAATAAAAAATGGACAGAGGACCTGAGCAGACATACAAACAGCCAACAGATGTATGAAAAGATGTTCAACTTCACTAGCTAGCAGGAAAATGCAAATCAAAACTACACCTCACACCTGTTAGATGGCAACAAGAGAGGTAATAACAAGTTGAAGAGGTTGTGGAGGAAAGGAACCCTCATTCACTTCTGGTGGGAGTGTAAACTGGTACAGCTACTATGGAAAATAGTATGGTGGTTCCTCAGAAACTTCAGAATAGAGTTACTATGCAACCAGCAATCCCTCTTCTGGGTATCTACCCCCAAAACTCAGAAACATTTATTCACAAAGATATATGCATCCCTATGTTTACTGCAACATTATTCACGATGGCCAAGACATGGAGATAACCAAAGTGTCCTTCAAAAGAGGACTGAATAAAGATGTATATGGATACATATATAAATACTATTGACTATTACTCAGCTGTAAGAAAAGATGAAATACTGCCATTTGTGACAACATGGATAGAACTTGAGAATCTCATGCTAAGCAAAATAAGTCAGTCAGAAGAAGCTCAGAACCATATGATTTCACTCATATGTGAGATATAAAACTGAAACTCATGACACAGACAACAGTATGGTGGTTACAAGAGGGAAGGGAGTGGTGGAGTAGAAAAGGGTAAAGGGGGCCAAATATATGTCGACGAAAGGTGATTTGACTTTGGGTGGTGGGCACACAATGCAATATACAGATCCTGTATCATAGAAATGTACACTTAAAAGATATACAATCCTATTAACCAATGTCAGCCCCAACAAATTTAATAAAAAGGTAATATGGAAAGTAAACTATAATTGAAAAATTAAAAAAATAAATAGGTTGAGTGTCAACCTATGAACTGGGAAGTCATGGTTCAATTCCAGGTCAGTGTCAGGGCACATGCCTGAGTTGCGGGCTCGCCAATCAATGATTCTCTCTCATCATTGCTGTTTCTATATCTACCTCTCCCTACCTTTCTGAAATCAATAACAATATATTTAAAAAATAAATAAAGCCACCTAGTTTGTAAACCTGTGTTATGACAGTCAATATAGCAGCATTATTCACAATAGCCCAAAACTGGAAACAATTCACCAACTGATGACTGAATGGATAAATAAATATGGCACATCCATACAATTGAATATTACTCAGCAATAAAAAGGAACAAAATAGAAACACGTTACAACACGATGAGCTTCCAAATCATTATGCTAAATGAAAGCCATATGAAAAGGCATATTTTAGGTTCCCATCTGTTTGCAATGTCCAGAATCGGCAAACCTATCAGAGACAGTAGAGCAGGTTATTGGTTGCCTGGGGCTGGGGTGGGAATGATGATTGAGCTCTAAAGGGAGCTGAACGCTGGACTGTGGTGATGGCTACTCAACCTGTGAATTTACTAGAATTCATTGAATTGCATATTTCAAATGGGTGGATTTTATAAAACAGTGAGACCTCAAAAAAGCTGTTTGTTTTTTAAGTAGAATTAAGTCT